AATTGGAATTTCAATTAACATTTTACTTTTTATTACCAACTTCTTTATTCGTGTAGAAATAACTTTTTGAACAAGTAATTGAATCCTTTGACAGTACCTCATATATTCAATCATCCTAAACTTTAGAAATAAAAACGAAAGAACAAGTTAAAAAGTCTACTGTGTTTTAGAGCTTCTCAGGCACAAGAAAAATATACAGAATAATAGAGAATTTCAAGCTTTATCAATTTGAGCAGTGCATTTAAATATGTTTTTATTATAATGATATATTTAAAATACAAACTGTAACTATTTACTTCCAGGAATATATATACTTTAAGATATGTCATAGGTCTTCATTATAAATTAACTTAGCAAATGTAATGAACTCAACCACCTTTTAAGGACAATTCTTTTTCTGGTCATTTATTTACTAAATTAATTGATGTTTAAGTCCCGTTGTCCCCTTCGAAATATATATACTGAAAGAACGAAGATTTCTGTACACAATGTGAGATCAAGTAATAATATACGATCAAAATTATTAAAAGTAGAACACAAACACTTTTCAGTTCAGATGTTTCGTATTAACATGAAATATAAAGCCATAATAATAGTGTTTGACTTTGAAGCATAAAACATCATTGCTGCGCATTTCACAGTATATCTTAACACACTAAATGTGTATAATACGAAAGAAAATATGAGTCGTGTTTACCTCAATCCAAATAGTCTCTACTCGACATTTAAATTATTATTTCTCTGAGATAAAATATGATTAATTTACTTGAAAGAGAATGTATGATTGCTATTCACTTCAAGATCATCGGCTGTTATTATTATGAAAGACACGTCAAATCTATTATTTCACGATGAGAAAAAATCAAATCAATATAAATTAGTAAAGATGTGTCTAATGAAATCTCGTTATGAATCTTACCAAAAATGTTTTTCGCACGTACTGCATGTTGTTCTATTGAGATAGTAGAACTAGAGAGGATATAAGGATATGAAAATGAATTAAATCTTTAGTATAATACGTTCATATAATAACTTCATTTTTGTTTAAAAACCTCAAGTGTTCCTATAATGGTGTGAAATTATGAATCACGATGTATTTTATGATAATCTCAAGCAATCAAATCTGTTTTTTTTTCGTATTCATAAACAATTATTGCCTACATTCAAACATGTTCTTTGCTGAGTAATTACTTGAAGAATTTCACATATACATAGAAACGAAGTGTTTTTCGTAAGAACTTTCTTTTTAATCATCGGCGTTATGTCGAAACATCTTTACTCAACATCAATTTCATTTCAACTTAACATAATTACTAATTTATTCCAACAAAATACGTTGATCCGATTGCAATCAACTTCACCATCACTCCCTAATGCTCTGCTATTTTTGTTTTTGATTAAATGACAATATAAAGAAAGAGACAAAAATATTTACACAAAATGAAATGATTTTGAACATTGTAATGTATACAACTAGATAATTTATGTATTTGTTCTTGTATATGATATGGTTGAAATCAGAATAATTCATCAAAACTAGAATCAATCAGAACGATTTAAAAAAAAAGAATCCCGATCCACTACAACTCATAGTAAAAGCCATATATATATGTGATGTTTTTTTACGAATAAATGTTGAAAAATTTATTGAGCAAAATCAAACATCAATTTTTAAAAATAGCTGATATAATTATGGATCTATTGTGACGATACTAAGGTTTGCAACTAATGAAAGAGATCTTTAGAATATTATGCTCTGATTGAAACAGTACATAACCATATCACCAGAACAGTTTTCACAATATACTTAGGGCATTTCAAAAGTAGTGACAATGACATTTCAATACCGTATAGTAAACTTTCTAATATCGTAAGAATAAAATTTTAATAAGAGCTGTTTTTCTATGATAGGTGACGTTTATACTAATGTCTATTTAAAAAAAAACGAGTGGATATTTTTTGAATAATTTTCCATAGAAACAAGATGGAAGGTTGTTGTTTTCATCGTTCGAAAGAGACGATGAAGATGCATCGAAACATCTATTATAAGTTTTTCTTGAATGTTGTGTGAAGTTTGTTTAATCAATTTTCAAAATGTCGAAAAAATTGGCTTTTTATCAAACAGATATGCTAGAAAAATCACTTAGAGTTTCAATTAGACTATTTATAACTCTTGAATGATTAACTCTAAACATGTCAACTTTGTACAGTGTTGTAAATCTGCCCTTGACGATTTGAATACACACTCGACAATGGATAACTTGCTGTAAACATCTCACGGGTTATATTTGTTTTCAAAAAGGTCGATTGAAAACCTTAAAAAATTCAATTCAAAAAATTCCTATAATATACGATTCGATGGATCTTTATCACCTCATTCGATTGGTGAAAATTGCAGCTATGTATCTTGTTTCTATTAAAAGTTATTCAAAAAATATTCACTCTTATTTTTTTTAATAGACATTAGTATAAACATTACCTATCATAGAAAATAAAGTCTTCTAAAGTTTACTATACGGTATTAAAATGTCATTGCCACTACATTTGAACTGCTCTAAATAAATCAGTCATTTTTATTGAATTCTTGGACATGTTGCTTTACCCATTGCTCGTAATCCATTCCAGGTGATCCCGTCAGAAGTTCAACATTCGGAGATACTTCGACAGTGCCTTTCTGAATGAGCTGGGCTAAGTTGGCCAAATGATCAGCAGTATGCTGCTCCCAACCATCTTTTAATACGTGTTCTTTTAATGTTGTGTCCTTCCATTCATTCCAATCCAGTGGAACATAACGAATCTTGCGACCAAGGACAGCAGAGTAGATGTTAGCTACCTCGTCCATATTAACTGCTTTCGGACCGGTAAGGTCATATGATTTTCCAATGTGAGCAGCTGGATTAGTAAGAATAACAGCAGCCACCCGAGCAACATCATAGGCAGCAATAGGTGGTATACGACCAGAGCCAAAAGGAATGCGCAGTTCATCGTGTTCGGCGACTGCAGATTTGGCCCAGTGATACAAATGAGGATTCTGATAAAAGTTCTAGAAGTTGGAGGAATAGTTTGAAAAGGTAAAAACAGCCTACCTCCATAAAGATAGTTGGACGAAGATTCACGAAAGGTACACCTGACCATTCCAAAGCTTGCTCTCCCAACCAATGTGCATTTACTTGTGGACTCGCAGAAGTTTGGTTGATGTTCATTTTTGACACAGTCATCTGAAAAGCAAAGACAACTAGATGGCTTTGTCCGTCACTAAAGAAATTTAGATCAGGGTTGATTATAGGTGGGATACAACATTTTAGAGAAAAGTTCGATCTTTGACAGCATTTCTGGTCAGAAACTTTGATCAGTGTCAGTTAAGTAGGGTTCAAAATATAATTCAAAACAAGTACTGACTTGCATTGTGTACACATACCTGAGACATGTTAACAAAGACTTCAATATTGTAATACTTGGCGACGGCAATCGTATTTAAAGTAGCCTCGAGATATTTGGAAGCAACAGTAATGCTAAAGTAGATGCGTCCACAACCGTTTACTGCTCGATGAACATCGGGCAATTGTGTAAGATCACCGATGATGACTTCGGCACCTCGTTCGCGCAAAGCTTGTGCACGATGATCGTCACGTCGAACAAGAGCTCGAACGGATATATTTTGTTTTCTCAGTAAGTCGACGATAATTCCTGAAACAGATCCTACACCACCGCCAGCTCCAGTGACAAGAATCGGTTTGGTAGTCTGAGCCATTTAATTGCGTGTGATTTTGGTTAAACTATCGTTGGAAGAATATATTTTGATGTAAATGGTGTACTAAGTCAATGAGGGCAACTTATAAATACGCACAGTAAAATAGAACGTCAGAATGACGTTGCTTCTATGTTATTCATGAAAAAAAAACGATAGTACAAGTCGTACGCACGTGGTGTATAACGTCAGATAAATGACTGCAGCAAAGTAAAAGAATAGAGAACACAACAAGAAAGAGAGCAGAGCACGCAAGCAAAAAGAAAGAGAGCAGAACACACAGAAAGGAGAAGAACAAACGGTATACGGAGCAGTGTCTTTTTAGTCTAGATTCAAGATGAAGCTGATCTGATTCGACATTCAATAAGTAGGAAGAATTGCTCTTCAATACTAAAACACATGCAAAATAAATGTTGCTCGTAACGTGTTGGAAGAGTGAGAGTTTCACAGTAATGACAATGACTTAAACTTTCAAAAAACTTGAGAAGCTTTCATCACAAAGTGTTCACGTCATCCTGTTTTAATCTAATTTTACGACCGAAAAAGAAAACATTGTAACTCACATCTTTCGTTTAGTAGTATGCGTCTGATTCAAGAATCAAGAACAAACGTATGATCAATCAGAATGATAATAAAAACCTTGAGTCATGTATACACAACATATTGATCGAAGTTTTTAATCCAAGAAAATTATATTTTTTTGCATCATCATAAAAGTACGTCAGCAGCAATATCAAGTTTCCACTTGTCCAGCCTTTAAAACGATGCAGATTAAAATACCACCTATGTGATAGAAATAAGAAAAAAAGACACTAGCACGATATCGCTTCATTTCAACACAAGCTATGATTAAGAATATAATGCGTTATTTCATTTTCTTTCTTCTTAGGTAAATCACATCAATTTTTACATATCATTCTTTTAACACGCCGTACTCTTCTATTTTAGCATCACAGATTTGGCTCAGTATTGTGGAAGTCGTGAATAATTCGATTCGAGTTTTAAACTTTTCTGTATTTACTCTCTTCTCACCCTCCTAGATGAGAACTCGAATTGAATCATTGCAACAACTTTCGAATGTAACACTTATGTTTTATTTACGTAAATGTTTTCTTTTAATGAATAGTAACAATCACTGCAACTACAATCACAACTCAACAATCACGTAAGCTTCAGATTAATTCTTTTACCTCTTTATAAGTGTTACATTCAAATCAAATATATATACCTAGAATGGAAAACTACTGGTCGCATGAATTATGCACGAGAATGGCATACAGCATCCGTATTAACAAATGGAAAAGTATTAGTTACTGGTGGATTGGGCGAAGGTGGTATTACTCGTCTAAATAGTGCTGAGGTGTATGATCCGTCAACCGGCAGTTGGACAGTTATTAGTGGGATGAACTATGCACGAAGTATGCACACAGCATCGGTATTAACAAATGACAAAGTACTAGTTGTTGGTGGATTGAGTGACAGTGGTCGTCTGACTAGTGCTGAGTTGTATGATCCATCAACTGGAATTTGGACAATTACTGGTCATATGAAGTATGGACGACAGTGGCACACACAATGCGTATTAAGAAATGGAAAAGTATTAGCTATCGGTGGAATGGATGACACTGGTCGTCTAAAGAGCACTGAGTTGTATGATCCATCAACCGAAACTTGGACAACTACTGGTAGCCTGAAACATCCACGAAATAGACACACAGTATCCGTATTAATGAACGGGACAATGTTGATCACTGGTGGACTGAGTGATGATGGTGGTCTCAATACTGCTGAGTTGTATGATCCATCAATAGAAATTTGGACAACTACCGGTAAAATGAATTATGTGCGGAATCTTCACACTGCAACCGTATTACCAAATGGAAAAGTCCTAGTTACTGGTGGGTTCGGTAAGGATGGTCGTCTAAATAGTAGTGAATTGTATGATCCATCAACTGAAACTTGGACAATTACTAGTAACATGAATTATTCTCGAGATTACCACACAGCATCCATATTAACAAATGGAAAAGTGTTAATTACTGGCGGAGAGGATTTGTGGGGTCCTTTAGGTACTGCTGAGCTGTATGATCCATCAACAGGCACTTGGGCAACTACTGGTAACATGACTTATGTTCGGCAATGTCATACAGCATCTACATTAAAAAATGGAAAAGTTTTAATTACTGGTGGAGATAATTATGAGATTTTGAACAGTGCAGAACTATATTAATCATTTCCAAACGTAAATAGAATAAATGATTTTTCAATTTTGATATGATTTTTTTTTCTTTTCAAATATCATCCTTAATCACAGCTGTCTTACAAGAATTACGAAACTTACGTATAGAGAAGCTTGTTTAGTTGATGTATATTTAAAAATGTATTTTATCTCAGAAAACTATTTATTTCTCTGTATTTTGGGTGTGGGTCTTCTCTTCACCTACAGGCACACCCCAGACCACACGCTCACACCCTTCCTGGTTCAATCTCTGAGATAAGCACAGTCTTTGGTTGAACCTGAAACACAACAAAACAAGTCTTAATAAGAAAATTAAGTTTCAGTACAATTTCTATGTCAATAAGCTTTGCTTAGCAGGATGAAAGCTATTCAATCGCAAACTTAATTCAGAGCTTCATGCCTTGCTTTGTGTCACAGAGGATATGATAACACATATCAAAATGTTGAGAATCGTGAATAAATCACAGATTTGAACTTCAAGATTTTAAAATGTCTCGGTTACTAGGGAAAATGTCGAATATTTAAAATTTTGATTTCTCCTTATCACATCGATCTTGATGTTCTCATTGTTTTAGACAAACTTGGAAAGATTTTGTCCATTTTTCACTATGGATTTCAACATTCATTACAGAATCAAATGAAGTATATAGGGTGTGTAGAAAATTCTTAGCTAAAACAACTTTAAACATCTCTGCAATATTATGACCCAATTGGGTGATATTTGCGCCACTGATAGAAGAGTGATCATAGCTCATATTCTCAGAAGAAGCGTTGAAAAAGCTTCTTTTGAAGTATCACCACTGATTTCAACAAAGAGCTATAACACTTCACGGATTATGAAGAGAAAAACAATACAGCATTTTACTCAGTAAATTCATTCTCTTTGTTGCTGAAAGTCAGTATGTACCAAAAGTTAAAAGACGTACCTTTGATGTGTCATTTATTCTTGCCTAGGAAATACATATATTGTATTTTTTCAATAACCCTTGAAAAGTTATAGTTCCTTGTTGAAGTCAGTTGTGGTTCTTTGCAACAGATTTAGTCAATAGTTCTTGCGTGAATATAAGCTACAAATACTGCTCGAACAGTGATAAAAATATTAGTCAATTAGATCCAAATATTGTGAAGATATTTCAATGTTTGTTTGGCTAAGCACTTCTCGGACAATCTGTGAAAAAAATATAAACAGCACACCTGATTTATATCTTCTCCTTTAATAAATTCAAAAAATGCCAATAATGGTGATAGAAAATATTCATTTGTATGAATACTCGCAAGAATTCCAAATATACCTTCACTTGAAATATAGGCAATTATATTTATTAGAGGTAATTGTGATCCACAATAAAATTCGATTTCTTTCTTGTACATGGAGAATGAACTTCCCAATGCAGTAGATACAAAAACTAGCTGCAGTCAAAGACGATGAAGTAAGCCAAGATAATGTTTTTTTGAGACATTCTTTTCGTATATGATTAACTCGTTCTGATCGGTAAGATAATCCACCATATTCCAAAGCCATATTTTCTCAAGCTTGATTCAAAGTAGTCCGAAATTTTACATCAGGAATATTCTGACGAACAAATGAACTATGATAGAAATCAGATGAAATTATGCACAGACACGTTTCTTCAAAATGATTTTCGATTATTTTTACACTATGCAAAAGACCCGATGTAAATGGAACTGAATAATATGCGATATTCGCAACTGTCAATGCAAAAACTAGTTGAACAAATGTACTTGTTTCATAATCTGAAATACCTTTGATCAATGTAAGATCAGTAACAGCGCTCGATGATGCAATTTGTTTCACTCCCGGAAAAAGATTAACAGCCGATGTGAATTGAATTAAAGGTCCAATTGGTGTGCCATCTTTAGATCTTAAAAATATGTTGGATTTCTTTCCTGTTTCGAAAGTAAAAAATCGTTGCTCAGCTGTAGGATACGATGATATAGGAAATGGCCGCCAAACAGCAGTAGTCCTGATAAGAAGCATCTTCGTCGTTCGTTTCAACATTGCTGTAGTTACAGAAATATGTTTCGACTTTCCAGTAGTTTCAGAGCTAACAGTAAAATAGACGACTTTATCAGAAGAAAGTAAATTTTTCTCTTCGTTGTTTATCATCCGATCGATATGATCACGATAGTTTTCATACGTAGTCAGGGGAAGTTTTTGTCGAAATTCATGAATGAATACACTTTCTTCTTCTTCATTTGAAAATGGCCGAGAAAGCTTTGATGGCAAGAATGAAATTGATTGATCAACGAAAAGAGCACATGATAGATTGTTCTTCACGATTTTTCTTAATAGATCATTATTGATCTTTTGCAGATCACGAAGTGAATTTTTATGGTAGGAGACACATACATTTTTGTCTCCTGGTCGCAAATACCGATCTATAATTTGTTTACGAATTTGTATTCGAATAAATCTATTGAATATACATCGAATATATGGTGAGTAAAAAATAGTTATGATGCCTATGATAGTAAAAAACTACTCAAAGCCAAGAAAGAGAACCAACTCGAGTAGTCTTGATGAAATACAATGACTTGCATTTTGAATAGTGTTGACCCCATGTTTCGATAAACAAAAAAAAGAAAGATTTTTTTTTTGTTACTTTAAAAACAACAGCATCTTATCTGATCATATACGCAGGTGGTCTCTAAAATATAGCATACAAGTTATATTTTGGCTTGTTTATTTTTCCTAAAGTATCAGTTTAGTAAACCTTGAATTTTTAAACACGTTGTCAAACTATTGAATCATAACTCTCATTTCAACTTAGTAGTTTTCATCGATGAATTCTTCGTAATTTTTTCGTTAAATGTCATGCTGAAGCATGGTTGACGTTCTAGGAAATATCATCTTAGATATTTTCTCGTGTCATTTGCAGAAAAAAAAGTACCTTTTTGTTGAAAGAAAAGACACTAAAAGAAAAAAGTCGTGACTAGTTTTTAGGTTTAAAAAACTGCTTAAAAATGTAGGATAATTTTAAGGTCGTGGAGAAATAATTGATTATAAGGACTAACAATAGACTCTCGAACCGAAAATATATCGAACTACTAGTAAATAAAAGATTTTACACCAGGAATCTTTCAAATACTCAATTCTTGGATTAAATTTTTAAGGGCTCAATACTACTTGAGAAAATGTTTCGCAAACCTGTTTTAACATTTTTAAAACATGGATTTGCAAATTCGACTATAAAGATCTTCAGCTAATACAATTCGATAGTATTGAATTCTATCAATTCTGTAATTTATATATTTAATTGATCGCACAAATTGATAGTCAGGCTTCTCGATTGAACATAGATAAATACGACTTGAACAACAATAGCGAGATACGGTTTCAACAAGTAAAGAAAAGCATCATCTGACGAAAAATAAAGGAAACATATTGAGACTCTTTCACTTTTCCTTATTATCAGTACGCTTGTTTGGTTCCAAAGACAAGATGAGGGTGTCGGTGTGGACGGTTGGGGATGTGAGTGACTAAAAGACTACATCCGCTACCGCACCCACAATCACAGTCACACCAACAACCCCACCCTGCTACCAAAGTTGAAAATTTTACAGAAACTAGAAATCAACAAAAAGGAACAAAAATTGCGTTACGTTGATGGGTTTTCAATGCTTTGCCGCTTAAGAGTATAGAAGATAAAGAGGCTTGAAAAGACACGACTTTTTCTTTTTATGATGCAAACTTTATCTTACATTTGTAAAAATTGCATTTTAATAATTAATATATCATGAAAGCAGGTATAGTTTTGTTTTCTTTACTGGTCACAATATCTCTCTGTAATAAATAAATTCGAGTAAAACAAATTTTATTAAGGAACATAATTTTGATAATTCATTAAAATATTGACATAGTGTGCACTTTCTATTGTTCTATATTGTCTCACAGCGGATGGATTTCATCAACAAACTCAGTTAAGATTTGATATCAATGATAACAGCAGAAAAAAAGGTGTGGATGCAAGTGCTCTCTTCAACCACATCCACACACCATATTTTTACTTTAATTGTTCAATAATTGAATAGTCAAATTCAACATTCAGATTTGACATGTACGCTAAACGTAAGGTAAGGCATCTTAAACTACGGTAAAGTAACTTCAAGCAATGAAGTATCATGTTTTCCGTTGCATGGAGCTTAGAATTATTTATGCTTTCAGCTAGGATTTTAAGAAGAAATAACAGGAATTTTGCACAACTTTCGCCATGCTCTACGATTCACCATCAGATAAAACAAAACGTAAAATCTCTTTTTCTTACGTATAGGATGTAGTGATATCACTCTTCATGAGATCAATAAGACGCATGACATCAAGATTTTTCAGAGTTCTACTACGTTAAATTCGCACATGTTTGTTGTATTTTGAAATAATGTATTTATTAAGAATGCTGAAGAACATGACACAATGATCAAATATTAAAAATAAGACTTGTGAAAGACAAAAAAAAGGTATGATATTTATTTTGGCAAAATAGAGAGAGAAAAAGATGAACGACAAAATTAAGAACAGGAAAGCTACTTATTAATAAAACCATCACAATTGATTAGTGATCTAATCTAAATTTTGTGTTTCCGATTAAAAACTTTTATCTTGCAAATATGTAATGTTGTATGAAAGTAGTCTTAGCTCAATTAGAGTTTGTCATACACTTGACTTTCAGGCACTTAAACACCTTTACAGAATTTCAAAAGACACAAACACTCTTCAAGACTAGGTTACATTCATATCACATCAAAAGTTTATGAAAAAAATAAGTTCTGTGAGAGTAAATGAAAAAATAAAATGAGAGTGTAGAATGTTCAAAGTCACTTGACGAACGTCTTGTACAATTTGTGAAGTGTTCAACGCGAAAAATATGTTCACGTGCGGTGTTAACTTAATTATCAATCTTTAACATCACAGTACATCATTGATTACATATCGCATGAATTTCCACAGCAAATTTTCTGTTCAAACTTCGTAT